TTTGGCCACTTCTGGTTTAAAACCTAGTCCCTTTGGTGAAACTAGTAAAATGTAAGAGTCTCTCTCCCCTTCCTTCCTGTTGATCTGGTGAGTGTGTTGTGCAGTTGTTCCTGTTGGTCTTCTTTGCCTTAGCCAGGGTGCCTCCTCAGATATCTTTGGGTCTAGCCCTCTACCTTTGCATTCATTGCTGAAATGTGCCCAGTTGGTTGTAAATCTCACCCCATTTCCTGGCAAAGCAATATACGGTGTCTTTGTGCTTCCTTGGCCCTACTAGGACTCTCACTGGGACTGCCGGTCTGCCTAGACTCAGGCACGTCTTCCATCTACCCCTCCTGCTTTGGGATCTCCCATCCACAGCCTTATATTGAGATAATCCTCTTCCCAATATCCTGACAAACATACCAATTCCTGATTATCAAGAATTGTTGGAACATTTCTAAGTTTCCTTGTGCTAACATCAGAGCCCAAGAAGAGTATGGGGTGTGGGGATAACAAATGTTTCAAGAATTTGGTTCCAAGAGACACTACTTGAGGCAAATTACATTTTCCATTGAGGTTGCTGCCAAAGTAAGTCAAAGAAAGGTAAAACACAGCAGCTTCAAAAGTGCCTTTCTCAAAAAAAAGGTTGTTCAAACATTCAGAATTATCATCAGATACTGTAATGTGCATCAGTTGTGTACTTTCTGAAATTTTAACCACATACACAAAAAGAAAATCCTCATTAACTCAGGAAAAGAAAAAAAAAATAAGGCACTGTTACATATGTTAGGTCACCTAATACGAATATATTACATCTTTAAACACTTTTAATAAATACATAATTTTATTTTTTCTAGTTAGTGTGCATGTATAAAGGTTGCTTACCACTTACTTAGTAGGTTATTGCAATAACCTGAACGCCTTGCCTGAAATGATTACAGGAAAAATGGAAAAGAAGAAACGACTCTGACAAGTATAGATTGCTGTAGGAAGCCCTGGGCTTTAAATGTCCAGGGGAAAAAATGTGCAGTAGGTCACTAGCCAAGTTTTTAACATATTTATTTAACTACAGGTATAACATAAAGATGAACTTCAAATATTATGAGAAATTAAGTATTCTGTGTTGGCCTACTCTTTTAAATTTCAATGTACCTCTTCTTAACTGAAATGTCTCAAACCTCTTCATATTTTAAATACATTTTTTTCACTTTTTTTTTTTTTTTTTTTTTTTGAGATGGAGTCTTGCTCTGTCACCAGGCTGGAGTGCAGTGGTGCAATCTCGGCTCACTGCAACTTCTTCCTCCTGGGTTTAAGTGATTCTTATACATCAGCCTCTTGAGTAGCTAGGATTACAGGCATGCTCTATCATGCCCGACTAATTTTTCTTAGTAGAGGCAGGGTTTAACCATGCTGGTCAGGCTGGTCTCCAACTCCTGGCCTCAAGTGATCTGCCCTCCTCAGCCGCCCAAAGTGCTTGGATTACAGGCATGAACCACCACTCCCATCTCCAAAACTCGTTTCCAGATAAATTTGGACCATAGACGACATTTTGCATACACTAAGATGTGCCCTACAACGTGTATGAAAGAAACTGCAAGCACTGATGCAATGGTACATACATAGAACTTGGGTTTAGTTATCGAGAGCATGTATAAGCTCAAATTTGTGTGATTTCCTAGATGTGTTCTCATAGTCCCTTAAATAGTAATGAGAAGATTTGAGGAAGTGCATCTTGTTTGAGATTATGAGGGAGTAGGGAACGTAGTATTTGTTAGCTCCCCATCATTGCTTTTGTACCTATTTAAGTTTTGGAACTTGATCATCCCCAACAAGCACTAAGCATCCTATATCCTCACTCAGCAGTGCCCAGTATGTATTTCATTTTCAAAGTTGTACGTAGAACATGAGCGAGACAAATAGCAGTATTTTCGCTGTGCTGTGTGTCAGCAGGCCTTTCTTGATCATTATGGTGATGTCTTTCCTCCCTAAATAATTTTTACAAATATAGTGATGAAGACAGATTTCTGTTATCTATCTTCGATGGGTCATAAGTTGAACTAGCACTATATTTTTTTCTGAAAATATGCACAATTGTGACATGGTGTTTAATAGTCTTAAGCTTACTGCTGCCAAAATAAACACAGCTGTAAGAAATGATGACCCTCTCATCTTTGTAACAATAAAATAGCTTCCTAATGTGCTTCCCTAACTCTGAATGTTAAGTTAATATCCCTTGGATTTCTGAGCCCCATCCTTTTCCCACCGCGGAAGCCCCATGAAGAATACAGCTTTTGACCAAATGACAGAGCATAGAGGATGAAATTAGCTGCATTAAATTAGACAAAAAGCCTTTCTAAATCTTTGTCACAATGCAACATTCAAGCAACGTTAAACCAAACAGAGTACACGTAGACAAAGGAAGAGAGTTAATATTTTGAAAAGAAATTTGATAAACTAGATCACTTGCAAATTTGAAAGGGTCATTGATAGATAGCATGTGAGCTGTGGCAGTTTGTAACTTGGGGAGCCTACTCTGCAGTCACATGTGCAGTCTCTTCTTGTTCAATCTTTGGATATGAAATTAATTGTACCAATGGTTTTTTATTGGTTTTCTTATATTTCTCATAAAAGCAAGTCTTCATTGCTAAAGGCTGCATTCAAGAAAATAATGGGGAAAAGTATGATGAGTAAGATTCACATTTCTGTGCTGTGTTTCTTGTTTTCCTATTTCTAAGTATATGCATTTAAACAAGAGCATACATTTTGTAAATTGGCATTAAGATAAATTGTCTTCTAAAAAGAGAACACAAAATCTTTCCTTTATTTCTATTATAACTTGGAATTAACAGTTTTTCCCCTGAAAGATCTGAGTTTTATTTTTGAAGTTTAATTCTACCATGTTGGGTTGTGGGAAAATAAAAGTCTCTGATAGGGTTAATCTAGCTACATAAAAGTCCATGCTGGGTATGATCATAATCTTGATCTTTGATTAGATCTGAGCTAGTAATATCTTGTGATTAATCAAATTGGGTTGCACTGCATGTAGCACAAGTCATCTTCCCAGATGGGCTCCAGAATAAGAGTTCTTTTGAATATTTCTTTTAATCCTTTCTAGGATAAAATGGCTTTGTTTTCTGTTTTTGTTTCTTTTTACCTTTTTTACTTTAAATCAGACTGAGTTCACCAAATACATAACTAGGAAGAAATTTTGAAGTATAGTCTTGCCAAGATTACAGAACAACAAAGAAAAAACTTGTTTTGTAATGGATAGTTTTCTAAAGGATGCTTTGTACATTAAAAAATCAAATTAGTAAAATTTAGCAAATAATCTTATTCATTTGTAGTTTGAATAAAAAACTTTATGAAAGAATATATTAAAATAGACCTCAAAGAAATAATATGGAGATTCTCATAATTCTCAAGATTATTGTTTCTCTTCTGATTATGCATTTCCAGTCTAATTCACATCTGATAACAAAGAGCTTTACTTTGGCAACTAAACTATCCAACATCTAACACCTAGGGCACAGCAAGAGGCCTCAAATTCACATGTACAATGTCTGTCAGCTCTAGCAGTGAGCTGCTTTGATGGTTTTTTTTTTTTCCTATGTCTACAGGTTGACTGACTAATGTTCCTGGAGGGGTCAGAGTGCAGCTGTGGGGCTCCAGGTCTTGCATGCTGGTGCTCAGCTTGTCCTTACATAGTTTCATGATTTTAGGGAAATTTGTTGACTTCTTAGGCCTTGAGAACTCTTACCTGTAAAAATGAGAAATTGCATGAAAGCCTCCAAAATGCTGTCTAGTTCTAAACTCGGTGATCAGTCAATTCAGTGAAAAATTGCACAATAAATACTTTAATATGACTTACACATCCTAAAGAACACATCTCCATGTACTATGTTAAGTATACTTAAGCGGTTTAAAAAACCTCAAATCCCATAATGCATCGTCCCTCCACACCTTTATGGTATAAGAATATAATTGAAGGTTTCTTAAGATTTAAAAAAAGAAAAAAACTTGTAGCCTTTATTTGTGGAAAGACCTAAATGCCTGTAAATGAGTTGGAATTTAAAATGAGGTGGAATTAGTCTTACTTGGTCTACACATATAAAAACACTATGCTAAATAGAAAACAAAATAATCAGTAATTAAAATACATTGTTTAATGATTTCTGACAGCAGCTTGACTAGAACTTAGATTTGGCCTGTTTCACTGCACATCACCAAGCACATAGTAGAAAATGCAAATATTAGTCAAAACTAAGTTTAGGTCTCATTGACTAAATTGATCAAGCAGCATTTATACCATGACTTGTGAAAGACCAATAAAATCAGGCAGCTGATCATTTGTTTCTTAATCAGTATTATACCAAACTAACAATTTTATAGAGTAAATTATGTCAAACAGTTGATTTAGTTTCCTAGAAATCCCCGTAGTCACAGGTACCTACTTATGATGATGGGAAACAGAATAGGAAATAAATAAAACGGATTGTAACATAACTATTAAGCAGCCATACAGGCCTTGCAAGACACAATTCCTTCAAAAAGTTGCTCATCAGGATGCAAAGGCATAAGAATGACACAATGGACTTTGGGGACTCAGTGGAGGGGACTCAGTGGGAAGGCTGGGATGGGGGTGAGGAATAAAAGACTACACACGGGGTACAGTTGCACTGCTTGGGTGATGGGTGAACCAAAATCTTAGAAGTCACAACTAAAGAACTTATCCTTGTAACCAGAAACTACCTGATCCCCCAAAACTATTGAAATAAAAAGTTGCTGACCAGACGTTATGCATTGAATCATACATACTGGAGAAGCTCAGTAAACTCATGACTATGATTATATAAGAATCAATGAGTAAGAGAATAGAAAGAAGCAGTGCAATTCATGCAATAAACTTCTAGATTCAATAAATAACCCTCCCGTATTAGAATAAGAATGATTTGATTTTTTTTTTCATTCTTTTGTCTTTTTTTTTTTCCATTCTTTTGTCTTTTTTTTTTTTTTCCTTATAGGAGACCCGGTGAGCCTCCACTGATAAAAGGTTGGCTTCCTTATTTTGGAGTGGTCCTGGAATTACGAAAAGACCCCTTAAGGTTCATGAAAACTCTTCAAAAGCAACATGGTGACACTTTCACTGTTCTTCTTGGTGGTAAGAAGTACTTTTATAAATACCTTATATATGTCATAATTTTTCACTTTTCTTTAATGTCTTTCTGTTCTTCTCTAGGCAAAATGTAGAAAATGTAGAATATATGCATATTTTTATTTTATTTTGTAGAGTTAATGTGAAAGAAAATTATTTTTAGTTCAGCAATCCTCACATTAAAAATTAAATTACAGAACTTTCTTCATGGTACTTAGGGAACCTGGCTTGCCAGCCATCACCTGTCATTTTGGTTTGGTTTGGTTTGAAGAATGGTAGAATGAAAAAATATATATATGTATGTATATACATATATATGTGTGTGTGTGTGTGTAACTATACAAAAGCTAGAATGTATTTTTAAAATTAATGGTCTTTACTTTGTAGAGCAGTTTTAGGTTTACAGAAAATTTAGTAGTTTAGAGAGTTTCTATATACCCCCTCTCTCCAATCACAGTATCCCTGATTGTATCTATGCAGTATATTTGTTACAACTGATGAGCCAGTATTGATCCATTATTAAAAATTCATGATTTACATTACAGTCTACCCTTGTGTTGTGTAGTTCTTTGGGTTTTCACAAATGTATAATGACATGTATCCACCATCAGAGTATCATATGGAGTAGCTTTACTCCCCTAAAAATTTCCTATGCTTCCCCTATTCGTTCTTCTTTCCCTGCCTCTGAGTCTCCAGCAACTACTGGTGAAGAATGTATTTTTCATTTTAAAACTTTCATTGCACTTTGAACTTTAATAAAATACATACCAAAACACCCAGACAAATGAAGCAAAAACCAACAAGATTGCTACACACCCCAAACATTCTAGGACTGAGAGGAGAAGCTGAATTGCTCCTAGCGCACTTTTTTTTTAGGACCCAAACTATCTAGCTGTATCAGCTATCTATTGCTGAGTAACAAAAAGTTTAATGACTTAAAGAAACAACTGGTCTGGCCTGAGTCACTTGTGTGGTTTGACTCCTCTGGACTCTGGATGGGGGCTGGATGATCCAAGATGGTCTCATCACGTGCCTAGGCGGGCCTCCTTGTCCACATGGTCTTTCTTCTTCAGGAAAAGTTCCTTACATGTCAGTTAGTGTCTCAAGAGAGTGACAGAAAAAGCTGCAAGGTCTCTTGAGGCCTAGGCACAGATATTGCAAAACCTCACTTCCACCACATTCTTTTAGGTAGAGCGAGTCACAATGCAGCCCAGATTCAAAGGCAGGGAAAGAGACTCCACCTCTTCCTGGAAAGAGTAGCAGTCACATTGCATGGGAGCACATATAGAGAGATGGAAGGAATTCATCATAGCCATCTTTGTACCCAATCTTCCACATCAGTTTATGGCCTGCGCTAGCTATTCTCTCTCTTTGCTTTTGCATGTCCTGTCTATGCTCTGAAAGCTGATCACTACACATGAGATTATCCACACTCCTTTGCTTGCTGAATATGGCCAGTGGGAGGGCAAGAAGAGGCTGAGTCTCACTCTTCACTCTCAGTAGGGCTCTGGGAACACTCCTTGAGAAGTTCACTCTCCTTCCTTCATAAGGTAACTGAAGACATCCAGTGTAATCTCCCTTAGATCCCCACATATCTACCAAATGTATCAACATTTCCCAATGATCTACCACCTTTTCTCTAATTTCAAAGAATGTTCAAGACACTCCATCTCCAGGTCCCCATGACCTTTTCTTCCTCCCTCCTCTGGCTGGTACATCTTGACTCATTCCTCCCACACATGTATTCTTCATTTTTTAATTTCTCGGGTTCTTACCATCACTTACAACCATGCCTAAGGTTCTCCTCTAGTTACTTTCTCCTTTTCTCCTTTTCTTTTGCATCCAGCTCTTTCAAGAGATTTGCATATATATGCTATCTCTAGTTGCATATCTCCTAGAGCCCTCCTAACTATAACCAGCCTTCAGCATTACTGAAGTTATTCCTTGGTCCACCTTTGTAGACCTCTCTGCAGTGCTCATCACTTGTTCCTTCCTGAAATACTCTACTACTCCTTTACTCCCCACACTGCCCCTTCTGGTTCTTTATCTTGGTCTTCTACATGCATGCCTTTTCTTAGCTCAAGTCTTACACCTTCCTTCAACCAGCCTTGGAAGTTTATGCTCTGTTCTTAGAGAGCCATAATTTTTTTCTGCCTGTAACTACTTTGCTGAGGGTCAGAGACAAACTTTGGAAGCCGCAGTGACTTAATTTCAGTGCTACCATTTTAATACAGTATTTGGGAGAAATGATACAAATGGAGGAAATTATCAGCATGATTGACTTCTCCCATGGCTAGACACTACCAGTTTCATCAAAACTTACTCCTTTGCCTGGAAGCTGGCTAAGTCTGTTTCAAAAATAATTGTATACACTCTGATTTCAGAAAAATTAAAATGGAAAAAAATCATGCATTTTAGAAACAGAGGGATTGTAGTATATACCATAGTCCTCATGAGGTTCCCCAAGATCAGGTCTCCACCAGCCTTTCCATCACAGTCTCTTCCTGCTGCTCGCCTTGTACTTCACACACCATGAATGCACCATGTTCTTTGAAATTCCCTCCTTACACACCAAACCCAGTGGGGCCTCAGGTTTTCTTTCTCTTGCTGTTCTTTCTGCCAGAATGTTGTTGTTTACTTGACAGACATGTACTCATCTTTTGAGGCCAGAGTCACACATTACTTCCTCTCAAGAGCCTTTGCTGACTCCTCCTATGTTTGGAGCCTCATCTCCAGGGTCCAGTTACTCCCAGTATCACTTCTGTAGGAGCATTTAATATATAGTGAATTTATTGCCAATTCACTTATCTGTCTCCCTTCATTATTCTGTTAGCTTCTCTACTGTCAACACTTAGTCTAGAGCTCAGAACAGACTGATTCTCAACAAATATTGGATGGGGAAACCCCTAATACCTTAGAGCTGATGAAACACTGGAATACTATACAAATAAAGACCTCAACTGGTGCTCCTCCTCTAAGTGAGCCTTGGGCTTTATGGTATCAAAACCATATTGTTCACTTGAAAAAAGTCATTCTTACTTTAAATAATGTTGATATTTCTAATGAGTAGATAGAACAAGTAATTGAAATGTTCAGTTTTTCTTTTTACAATAACTGTACAAAAATAACCAAAGATAATTATGCAGAAAGTTGTGGCAGATTTGAGTAACTTTATTCACTTTCCAAAAAATAGCCAATTTTTGCTGACACTTGGTTTCTTAATATCATGTACCACGAAGCTGCTGAATTTCTAACATCTAAATAATTTGACCATGGTTATGTTTTTGAACTCTACATTAGACAACTATAGTTAAATGTGCAGAATACCTCCCTGTTGCTTCTTACTTGAATTTGAATAAATTCCTGTCAAGAAATCCTGCTAATGTATATGGTTCTAACGATCAGTTTTCAAAGTAGCTCATTTAGAAAATGTGAAATGAAGAACAAAGTCTTCCGCTCTTGTCTCATAATGTGATTTCACTGAGTGTATGTTCTTGCATGATGAGCAAATGATTGTCATCCCCAAAAGTCTCAAGGGACACAGATGTCATCTTAATAAAGAAATTAAAAGATACATCTTTTCATGAGAAACCATGTAAATTCTTGACCTGTCGAAGAAAATAGTTCTCTAATTGGTTTTGTGTGGTGGTGCAGCGGAATCATTTTCCCTAGATGTCACCCCAGCAAAGCACCACTGTACATCATTGTCAGCAGCTAGTGAAATCTTCCTAATAAGAGAGGGGATATGTACATGTGGCCATCCTCATAAAGTGCAAAGTTGACTCATATTTCACTCTCCCAACTGGTATTTTCAGCTTGAGATTAAAAAAAAAATTCTATTGAAAAACAAGCCAAACGCAGAGATTAAAAGCGTCTAATTATGAAAATTGTTAAAATTCAAATTTGTCTCTTTTTTTTGGAGATAGGTTCTCCCTCTGTCACCCAGGCTGAAGTGCAGTAGCATAAACATAATTCACTGCAGCTCTAAATTTCTGGGCTCAAGTGATCCTCCCACCTTGGATTCCTGAGTAGCTGGGACACAGGTGTGTGCCACCACACCTGGATAATTTTTTTAAGAATTTTTTTTTGTACAGATGGGGTGTCCCTATGTTGCCCAGACTGGTCTTGAACTCCTGACCTCAAGTGATCCTCTGGCCTTCATTATATTTATTTTGTATGGGACATTTCTATGCCAAGCAGCCAATTCTCATGAATATCTCTTTGTATAGCACCAAATATCTGAAATGAAAACATCAAAATTCAATTTATAATGATCCAGCTGTTAAAACTTTTTGTTTGACATTAGGGTGAATGACTGAATTTTTAAAAATGCATTTACCAGCATGCTTTGAGTTATGTAGCTTTACCTTCCTAAGGAATTAATTTTAAAGGAAGTAGAAAAGCTACTGAGGTGATAAAGGCTCTTATGCAGGTTATACAGGAAAGTTAGAGTTAATATTGTAAGGCCAGTTAGCTCCTAAAAAGGGAAGAGAATGAAATGATTGGCAAGGAAAATGTCAGAAATTTTGACCCGACTTCAAATTTACTGCATCTAAGAATGATTTATATTGTATTTTTTTTGGAGATATGGACCCCATTTTGACATTTATATTTTAGACAAATGGAAACTCTGAAATTCTTTAAATCAATATTTCATATCAACTGCTGACAGCATTCTCTTCTCTTTGGAAAACATGGCAAAGGGTGTTGTTTTTACCTTGTGATCTTTGTAAACTAGGTAACATGCCTGCGGACACTGGCCATTCATTTACATAAAATCACACTGGAGCAAAAGTTAATTTTGCTGTAAGAATACACAGCCTTTAGAATATCTTTTCAGAATATTTCCTTTGTTAAGAAATTTAAATTCATTTTATGAATGTATATGAGTTTTCCTAACTGTCTGATTAAAGATCACAAAGAAACTCTGGTTTTGCATCTCACATTAGCAGATGGTGGACAGATGGTTTAAATTAATATTAATTTTGGAAAACTTAGCTTAAATTGTTTATACTGAAGATTAAAAGTTGGAAAGCCAGCTAACATCTCCAGGGTTATTAGTACTTCCAAACCCACTTGAAAAGTAAAATCCAGAAAATCAAAACGTCTTCTTCTAAAGCAATTCACATCTCAATCAAAAAGATACTAGGTAAAACACAAAGCCTTGATGTTGAAGGACACTGAAATAAGAATGAGAAAGAGAAAATACAGATCCTAGAGTGAATACAGCTCTGAAAGGAGTGAGATTAGATCTACAAACAAAGCTAATCAGTACTGATTTTCATAAAGAACCAATATACAAACAACTGCTTATATATTTTTTAAAAGCAATATGTTAGTAATTGTTTGCTAACATAAACCATTTTATTCACACTCAACTTTTACTCCTATTATTTGAAATTAACCTCATTGTTTTTTCCCAGGCCCTCATTCCCAAAGGAGTGGGGATAGGAGAGAGGAGGAAATAGAGAGAGAGAGAGAATGAGAATGAATGTGTGTATTTGTAATTATTATAGACAAAACAAAAATGTAACATGCATACAGCCTCTACTTCAGTAGGCCCAATAACAGGTAGCTCATGATGTCATGTCTGAGTATAGTTTTCTCTTTCCACTTAGATTTAGGTGAATATAGAAAACTGTAGGAAAAACTTCAAAATATTCTCTAAAGATTTGTTTTACAAATTGTATCTTTAATACACTTTCTTAATATTAGGGATTAATTTAAAATAACTCCAAAGATAGTTAGCAAAATCCTTTTATTTAGTGAAAGGAGAAAAGTATAAATAATCACCTGTGAAAATACGCAACTTTGCCTAAAATTACATCTTTTGCAAAATGAGAAAATTGATTTTTTTTTTCAATTATTTGTCAGGCAGATGCTGGCAATTTTACTTAATTAAGTGGTTATGGCAAAACAGGTGTCATAAAATATGCCTAAATCAGGTTGAATCCTTTATGCTCTCCCCAGAGCATACACACACACATAAATTTAGTTTACCTTGTAGAAGCCAGCTTTGGGATCTGACCAGAATGAATAGCCACTTCTAGGTTTACTTGTATTCCTAGATCCACTCACATTATTGACTTAATCAAGGGGAAAATGAGTGAATAAAATTCAAGTCATCGAGTCATTTTTAGAAATAAATTATAGCACAAGCACATGTATATTCATCTATATTAAAATTTTAAGTTGTGTTTCAAAATTGTGAAACAAAAACATATTCATCTGTTTCTAGGATTAGGTTGAAAATTATTTCAAAACTTTATTTGAAATATATTGCACCAAATTGAATTAAACTTCTGTGATGCCATTTGAGTTACCATAAATAACAAGTGAGAAGTTGTTCTGCTGACAAAGCAACACACACATACACACACAGGAACAATGACATGAAGACAATAAATAAGTAGATGTTAAAGTTTTTAGGATCATCTAAAGTTTATGCCTGTTCTCTATAGGAAAAACATTAAATGTCATTTTTGAATACTATCTGCTTAGTATTTCTAATTAGAAGGAATCTTAAAACAGCACTCTAGTAAGAAGACAAATAATAGTGCATGGGGAGTAAATTCTCACGAAGGGTCTGCCACTGAAAATGGCATCATGATCTTGACCATTAACCCATCTTGACTTTCTTCACCTTTATCAACTGATACATGCAGAGGGTAAGCTAGCAATTCTTCAAGGTCTCTGCCAATTTTGAAAGACAGCCCACAGTATGACCGTGTTCCTCAAAGTGCCTCATTATAAGAATCACTTGAGGACCTTACCAAAAAGGACACTTGCAGTACCCCCTCCAAGCCTTTTGAATCAGAATCTTGCAGGAATCTATTTTTCACAAACATCCTAAGTTTTTAAATCGGTAAGTTTGGGCAACACTGATATGTGGAAAAGGCAAATGTCATCACCTCAAGGAGCCCTTGCTGATAACTTCAGGCAGACTGAAGCAAATTCTGCTTTCTGCTTCCCTTAGGCTGTGTTTTACCTCTGCCATGGCACAATTAATAGGGATGCAATGATTTCTCTACATCATTGTATCTCTAGAGGAAAGGGATCCAACCAAGTGTCTGGATCTTAATAAATGTGGTGAATGAATTTCTGAATGAATGGATGTATGGATGTGTTCTAGTTTGGAATCCTGTGTCAGTCACGAGTCAGTATGTGACTTTGAGCATGTTATCTAATCTTCCTTATCCATAAAAATGAAAATTCTGGCATTTGTGGATTTTTGCTAGTGTTGACATTTATTTGTGAGTATTTGCTTCATACAGTATGGTCATTTATTTGAGTTAAAATTATTGTATTTGGACAAAACTGAGATGACACCTAAGTATGAAAAAGCTCTTTATGAAGTATATACTCAGAAATGGAATGGCATGTTGCCAATTTGTTTTCTTTTTTACTGAGGGAAAAATAGAGAAGTGTTTAAGTCAAGGGATTATGAGAATATTTGAAGGATATTTAAAATGTTCAGGTACTTTTTAGTTAAAATAAAAATTTGAAGAGTAAACCATCTTTTGAAAGGTTAGTAAGAACTTCAGGATATTTAACTTCATGTTCTAGAGTGTTTTCCACCATCTTCCATTTTAAAAAGGAAACATGTAGTGTACCTTTGAATGAAATGGATTTGTATTAAACTTTGTGCCTTAGTTACTAGGATCTTCCTAATTTTGATTAAAATATTTTTAAACTTGTGATGTTTATTTCTGTTTTATTAACAAATGAAATCATATTCTCTCTTTCTCTCTCTCTCTCTTTTTTTTTTATAGGAAAGTACATAACATTTATCCTGGACCCCTTCCAGTATCAGCTAGTGATAAAAAATCAGAAACAATTAAGCTTTAGAGTATTTTCTGATGAATTAGTAGGTAAAGCATTTAGCATCAGTCAGTTGCAAAAAAATCATGACATGAATGATGAGCTTCACCTCTGCTATCAATTTTTGCAAGGCAAATCTTTGGACATACTCTTGGAAAGCATGATGCAGAATCTAAAACAAGTGTTTGAATCCCAGCTATTAAAAACCACAGGTTGGGACACGGTACAACTGTATACATTCTGCAGCTCAATAATATTTGATATCACTTTTACAACTATATATGGAAAACTTCTTGTTTGTGACAACAACAAATTTATTGATGAGCTAAGAGATGATTTTTTAAAATTTGATGACAATTTCACATATTTAGTATCTGACATACCCATTGAGCTTCTAGGAAATATCAAGTCTATTAGGAAGAAAATTATAAAATGCTTGTCATCAGAAAACTTAGCCAAGATGCAAGGATGGTCAGAAATTTTACAAAGGAGGCAAGATGTCCTAGAGAAATACTATGTGCACGAGGACCTTGAAATAGGAGGTAAGAACTTCTGAATGAGTACTTGCCTAAAACAAAATAATTTACCATAGACCTTTGAAATAAAAAGACAAAATGATGACCTTGAAAAAATTTTATGCTCTTTCTAATTGGCTAACGATAAAATGTTTTACTCTGATACTACCCTCTGTGATAATTGATTTTTTTTTTTTTTGCTGAGATGGTAAAACAAGATACTTAATGGTGATAATGAGAAAGAGTATAACTAAGCTGCATTTACTCCTCTTATCTCATCCACCACCACCCCGCCCCCCCATACACATTACATTTTAAACTATTCTCATTAAGCAGAAAATTAGACTTCAGAAGCCTATTGGTTCTCATTAGCATGCACTGATCCTTGGCTGGGTCTGTGTCCTAACATCTTTTAATTAGCACACTGCAAATCTAATCAGTGTAATAAACGCTATTAATCTTCCTTTTCACTTATTTTCTCCCAGCACATCATTTAGGCTTTCTCTGGGCCTCTGTGGCAAACACTATTCCAGCTATGTTCTGGGCAATGTATTATCTTCTGCGGCACCCAGAAGCAATGGCAGCAGTGCGTGACGAAATTGACCGTTTGCTGCAGTCAACAGGTCAAAAGAAAGGGTCTGGATTTCCCATCTACCTCACCAGAGAACAATTGGACAGCCTGATCTGCCTAGGTAATTTATTTTTATCTGTTATGAAGAAAAAAAGGTACCTCTCTGCAAACTCAGTTTATCACTCATAGCTGTTTACCAAGAGGTAGAGGACACAGCTGCCTAATTGACATAATAACACCCATTTACATCAATTATAAATTATGTAGTTTATAGCCGTAGATACTTTCATTGCATGTAAACATTAAGGCCTAGGTAATTAACTATGCAAGGTATGCAAAAGGCTAAACCAAAGCTTTGCAATTATTTGAAAAAAAGTTCATGCCTATTAAATCATTTGATTCTGAGCATCTGTAGATGTGCTAATGCTTTCCAAATACTGCTGCACTATCTTGTCAAGAAGTATTTGGCGACTGAAAAAGACAGTCCGACAAGAGGCACCCTGTGTGCAAGTTGTATTTCTTCCCCTAAATGATGTCTATGTTTTCAAGCCCAGGTTAGAGTGTTTTATGGAGTGTGTGATTCTCAAAAATATAGAAAAAATGTTTTCCACTGGAAGTTAATGATTTAAACACACACAGAAAAAAAAAAAGAAAGGAAGGAAAAGATAGAAAAGAAGAAAGGAAGGAAGGAGGAAGGGAAGGAAGGGAGAAAAGGAGCAAAAGAAAAGAAAAAGCAGCAACTACAAACTATTTCTGTGAAACGCTGATATTTTATAACATATTCGCTGACTCATGAGATACACATGGTCACTATTTCAAGTATGTTTGAGGTTGATAGTGACTAAGGTTTTTTTCTATTTCTACATAGGCCTGTACCTCAATAACTGGAGCTTTTGATTGCAGCAGATTTTGTTCCCCTTCACTACTTTGAGAAGGCTCTTCACTACCGTTACCTGATTGAATGTCTACTGCCAAAGTTAAATTCCATCCCAATGAGTTATTCCCTATTCCTTCTGTATTGACATTTCATCTTGCAGTATCCTTTAGGATGTAATATTCCAAGTCGCTTTGGACAAATGCAGGAACAAATGTTTACATATGTCTGTGTCTTCACTCCTTTGACAATGTAGACAAGTATTTTAGCCTCTGTTGGTCTCAGTATTTTATATTTTAAAGATATGTCCCAGGGTCTTTGATGGGAACTTTCAGGAGCAAAAGTCCTCCCAGGTTTGGTCAATGTTCACAATCAATGGGCATTGAGAAAAATAGCCCAAGAGTTCTAGAGATTGTCCTCGCTTCTCAGGTTAAGGCCCATTGAGACAATGCCTGAAAACATGCCTTATACTAGCAGTCAATTAGGAAAAATGTGTTGCCTTGTAGTTTGTGTCTTTAGCATAGGTTATCAAATAAACTTTATATTTTCTTTAAAAAATCTCAACATTACTAAAATACAAATATTCTTTTATTTTTGTTTGCAAAATTATTGGGGAATAAATACAGAAGATTTGTGTAAAATTTTGGATAGTTGCTCCACTTGGATAAACAGTATTTTCTGGCAGATTTTTAATTTCTATGAAGATCTACATTTTATTTCCCATATATTCAAACAGTTTCCATTGCATTTTATGAATAAGATGATGCATACTGGGAAGTAAGGCAAATACACCTCAAAGAATATGTGTTCGTATTCTGTATAGTTATTACTCTTATAAAACTTAGTTGTAATTCATCAACTCTCTTTTTACTCTCAACTTTTTCCTCTTAAAAGAAAAGGTCATTTTTAAATTTCAGTATTAAAGCAGAAACATTTAAATTTATTAGACTAGAAGAAATGGTAGATTCCAGAGCTATAATTTGAGTCCATTTAAGCCCATAGCTAGAGCTAGAGATTTTCACTCTTGAATCTCTCATGAATTTACAAGTCTCCTATCATTAATAAATGAATAAAAACAACAAAAATGCCAAGCAACTTTATATCCACCTGGATAAAGGCAGTGCCTTCAGCAGCCCGGATGGTTCATCATGACCTCAGTTACCAGCAGAGGCCAGTGTTGTTCATTATGAGAATTTAAAATGATGGGGCCGAATATGATCTGAAAAATAGTATTTTTTTCTTTCACAAGATAGAAGGTTTTATACAGATTAGAGAAAACATATATGAATTAGTTACACAACAAATAACTTCTACCGATGGTCATAGCTCAGTTGCATTTCTCTATATCAAGAGCATTAACTATATGTGCAAGGGCAAGACTTACACAATTAAATATTTACCATGTGCCACATGGTATGACTCTACGTGCTTATCCTTCTTGTCTTCTTAAAAAAAAAAGAGTTCTGTGTATTTTAAATGCAATGTCTTTAAAAACATCTTAAACTTTTATTATTATAAGAAGAAAAAAATAACAACGAAATGAATGCTGTACTTTTTACCAGGAAGGAGAATTTTGATCTTATTACAGCAAAGAGAAAAGAAGTTCTTCTTTCTACAGAAATTTTGCATGTCAGCACACTTTGATTATAAAGCAGGATGGAGAAGGAACGTTAGACTGCCAAAGTCTGTTTGAGTAATTCAAAGCAATCATCTGTTGTAAGAGGTTATGATAGATTTGTCCTTCTTTCAATGCTCTTGAGAATCTCTCCTCAAAACCATTCCACTCTTATTTTAGGCAAAGAAAACACAATTCTTTATTTTTATGTATCTTATTAAGATTATGCTTATCATGACCTCACTAAAACATTTTATCTATTAATAATTAGTTAAGATCACTATAACTAAATTTAAATGAAAATTTAAAATAAGTTAGTAGTTATAATGAGGTTTCAGAAACTGTTACTTGGGGCTTAAATCTCAATAGGAAAAATTGCTGATAGAATGGAAGTTTGAGAAGCTCTGAGAGAAAAGTAAGAATTTTTCAGTTATTCCAGAAAAAAAAAGGTAGAGATAGGATTTAGAACTGCAGGTTTTAGATATAGGGAAAAGAAAAGTATAAAAGATAATTCAGAGAGACAAAGGTAAGAAAAAAAGATAATGCAAGAAGTAAAAGCTCTCAAACTTGGAATTTTGATAAATCAATTGCAAATAAGCTTAATGAATACCACTTCTTAATGTTTTACTTGAATAACATAGATTAACTTAATATAGTGGCACACAGTATAGGCTCAATAAATGTTATCTGTTGTTATCACCAAAATGACATTCAACCTCTATGATGTCCCCATATGGCTTATATTGTTTTCTTCATTTGCAATTATTTATGAACATCATACTCAAGTCTACATTACTTTATAGGAGTGTTCTTTCTATGACCCACCAGTGAAAAGAGCAAACATTCTCAAGTGAGAATGAAAGGCAATTGCTGCATGGCTCAGGTGAATTCCAGATGCCTAATGTTCAGTACCTATCCTCAAATTGAGAAAAGTTACAAACATGGTCCACTTGAGGGATATTAAAGTAAAGGGAGATCCCTTAAAACTGGAACTGGGCAAAATCTGTAATAGTTTTTTAAAAAAGAGAATATTATAAATTATAACTCTAGAAGTATGAGCTTGCAGAGTACACACTGAAATTCAATGGAAGATTTTGAAGCCGATTGTGAGTATTGGTGTGTGAGGGGAATACAGAAAGGAAAAAAATTAAGGTCCTTTAATAGATCATTAGACGCAATTTATGTTATATATATTAGTGATCTCAATATCAAAGCAATCTTATAGACATTGTTTCATGTCATCTTCACCAAGATACTCTGGAGGACAACAACAACTATTGTTTTGTCACTTTTACAGATGAGAAAATTCTCAGGGTGCTAAATATCTTGTCTAATATCATGAAGATAATACAGATAATACAGATAATAAAGGCAGGTCTTTAACTCAGGTTTTCTGAGCAGGCCCACGCTTTTCCTCTCAGGCCTGTCTGATACCAGAGCCCTGGAGATCTTTTTTCATTGTCCCAGCTGAGAGGGGAGAGGAATTCTTTGTATCTCAAGTCTACAAAGCCAGCCATGATGCACATGGCCAAGATCAGGCAACATGGGCCAGAGGATCAGACAGTTGGCTGAATTTTTAGCTTCATGATAAGATATTATGAATAACATTAATAATTATTATTTGAATATGTGCCAGCCACTGTGTTGCATTTTATGTATATTAGGTTATTTAATTCTCAAGTATTATTATTTTTTTCAATTATTAAATAACGAGGTTCAAAAACATAACTAACTCAAGTCATACAACTAGATAGTGGCAGAACCAGAAGTTGATGCCAGATCTAACTTTAACGCCTACCCATAATGACTGTCGCTTCAGACAAAAATTCTCTAGAAATGGACTAGAGACTTTGAGCACTATTTTTTATAAGATACATATTACTGATTCTCAAATGCAGTTGTGTTTGAGGGTAAGGATAGAACTAGCAGTGCACATTAGAATCTTGTGGGTATTTTTATTTAACAGAAATGAACTTTTGACTGTAGAATAGTTTTAGATTTACAGAAAAGTTACAAAGATAGTAGAGAGCATTTCTGTATACCCCCCTCCAACAGTATCCCTTGTGAACATTTAACATTAGTGTGGTATATTTGTAAAGATTATGAGTGTTATTTTGAAAAAGCTCATTCAAATATTATAAAATAATTGTGTATTTGAAAGCTTAAAACTTTACATAATTCAGATAATAGTGAAGTTTAAAAACATCCTCTCTTCTGGTGAGGATCTACAAAAGATATAACTTCATTTAGGAGCTTCTAACTGGAGGAATTAGGTGAAGCATCTTCCACAAAGAGGTACATCAGAAACTTAGTGACGTAAATTTTATATGTAATATAAGGAAACAGCAGTTAAAAGAATGAAAAATACTGATTTCAGTGTTCATCAGATTTTCAGCTCAGCACAAAGCTAAGGTGGTTAGATAATATAATGAATGCTGGAAACAGAATCTGAAAGGATTGAAAAGCAACTTTAATTAAAATGCAAATTACTGTGTTTAGATCTAAATATCAACTTTGTAAGAATAGGATGAGAAACTTGTGATTCCGCAGAAAAGGGTTTAAAGCAATGGTTCTCAGCCTTGATTGCTCATTGGAACCATCTGGGAAGCTTTAAACACTTGGAATACCTGGC